AAAACCTTTTTTTCTCTTGAACCCCTGCATATCCTCTAGCCCCCTCATTTTTAAGCAATTGATTGTGTATATTTGATTTTTGAAGACATGTTACTAGTCAATTTCTCGTAAAGATACTTTTTTTTTATTCTTTTAATTGAGAAATAAAGTAAGCTAAAACCAGTTTTTAGGTGCAATATACATGATTATTGATGCTAAAATGGAACAATGGCTATGAAAGTTCCGGCCTTGGTTTATAGATTTGTGAGTTGGGCATCTCTGAGCATAGTGGAGTTCTTGCTTGTGTGGTTGCGGGGTTGTCTTTGTTTGAGCGCATCAGAGCCCGTCAGTGGAGTTGGTCCAAAAGCTGAAGTGTTCCAATTTCAGTAACGACCAACATTTTCCGCACCACTCAATTAATGACCAAGTACCAACCACCGTCATCGGACAAACTAGTCAAACCACCACTACTCACGGCGGGTGGCACCCAATTGTGGGCTGATGGCCAGTCTCATCGTGTAGACCTGAATTAAGAAGGTTGGAAGTTTTCTTAAAAGACCTATAATATCTTCAAAACATAATGGAAATGAAGGAACCATAGAGGCTATACCAATAGTCAGTTAGTGTTGTTACACTTCCATTAAGGTTTGGTCTATGAAAGGCCTTTCTTTTGAACTGCTTGAAGGCGCTTGCAAGACGTAGATTAGACGATCCCTTTAAAGAATTAGGATTTACTTCAATGCTGAAAGCCTTCTCCTTCACGACCAGCCACTTGCTAAGACCCTTCTTTGTCTAGGTAGAAACTTCAATCTTGGTGTAGGGATAAGTGTAAGATCTATAGAACTTCTAAACAACTTTAGTTTTGCTTTGAAAGACAAATTATTTACCAGTATTGAAATGACGTTGTCCCGAACAGAGCCAAATAGTGAAGTCATATAGCTAATCTCAACTGGTTTTGGATAGGTTTTGTTGATTGACATAAATGAAGTAAAACTAAATTGAAAGAATTGCTTCAGTGCGGAGTGCACCTTATTTATTT